AGTGGAATATGAGTGTTCTTTCTGTGACAGAGGTGTGTTCTGCTGATGGTGAGTCTGTTCTGTGCTTTTATCGCGTCGGAGATGGTTCATGTTAAACTTTTCAGAGATTTTACGTCTGCAGATCACACGCATAGACCGTATATATGAATGGACATATATTCTAGCCCCCTAGCGTTTTGGTGGTGAATTACTTCGCGGCGCATAGACCTCGACGCAGATCCATAAATCAAAAACAACAAGGCGACAAGGCAACGGCGACAGTGTGCAGTGAGTCGATACAGAACTATACTTTAGCCCTTAACTGCTTATATGGACTGTAAACCATTCTTACTGTTTGTTTGTCTTCTGTCTGTTTTTAAATGTTCAATATGGACCCACTGGAGTCTGAAATAAAGCTTGATTGATTGATTATCAAGTCTTAATCCTTGTAAACTCAGTCTACTTGTATAATTAGTATTAAATTAGTCATTCATTGAGCCACGGGTCATATCTCGCTTATAACTCAATATCAGCAAACGTCCATCGCACTTCAACAGTCACATCCCCATTAAAACCAAGTCTTTGCACTATTTGTGGTCCCAGCATGGGGCTAATTGTGCTAATATGTGTAAATGGTAGCAGCAGATACAGAGGCGCTCGTCTAGGCGCGCTCAGTGAAGGCAGTGTGTTGTGACGGAGCCGCGCTCACACTGGGAGCCATATTGTTTATGGAATTATGAAATGGTTTTTATGAAAGATGATTACAGTGATGAGAAATTAGACACCACCGCGGGGAGGCCAATTTAATGTCTCATTGATCATTCATTGGAAAACAGCAAATATTGGGCAAATTAAACGCAAATGAAAATTACAATGATCTCTACCTCCTACTACGAGCAATAGACAATGAGAAATCTGATCTGTTTATGTAACGAAGGAGGAGGAAATGGGCCGTGAGTAAAACTGAAGGCACGTTGAGTTTAAAGAGAACATTTTACGCAATTTTTTTAATCTGTGTGATAATGTTTCCTCGTGAAAAATAGACCTGGTGTTGTGTTTTGTTTGATTCATACATGTTTGAGTAATTCTTTATTATTATTATTATTATTAGTCGCCTACATCCATACACCTTCACTAATGTCATTCGGATAATTTCAGCCCTGAAAGTTCAAATCTTGAGACAAAGCTTAGCTTTTAAGTTGACAACGTATTATTTTATGACATAGTAGAACCAACCATTTTGGAGAATTAGACTTGTGGATACCTGTTAGACCAATCAGACTGTTCCTTATACCCCCACGTTTACATGAGAGCTTTAATTCCAAATAAAAATTATTTAATTCTGAATAAAAAGTAATTATTTTTTTAAAAGACCATGTAACCACTTATTTCCTAATGAAAAGGATTATTCAGAATTAAACTTAATGCCGAAGTAAATTGGTGGTTTATTCCAGTTTTAAAGCTTAATTAATTTATTCCTCGATCATGTAAACGTTTATTCTTCTTAAAAATAATCCCGGTCATTCAGCGCATGCTCGTTGGGTCGCCCTTCTGACGTGAGCCGGACGATCCGGCTCCACCAGTCCTGGCTTCGGACTTTCATCCACGTCTTTTTGGATTTGTGAATGGGATGCGGGAGTCGTTGACTCAGTTTGTCTTCTTCCTCCCTTCTCCTCCTCAGCTGACAGATGTAAAGCTTGATGAGAGAATTCTTTAATTATCATTGGAATAACTGCGGAAAAAGTTTGGATCACGTTTGTGTCCGTGGCGTAACAACAAACTGAGATGACAGAAAAGCAGGTAGCAGCTGATGTGTGTGTTTCTTCGGGTGGACGTAAATACGTTTGTGTCTTTGTCCACTCAGAACCCTTTGACGTTGAGCGGAATTAAATATTATTATTATTTCCATGTAAACTTGAAGGAGAACATTTTAATTACGAACTATTTAATTCAGAACAATTAATTCGGAATTAAAAAACATCTTGAAAACGTGGCCAATCTCTCCTTTAGTCCTCCAGGCTCTGCCCAGTTTAGCAGCTCTACTTGAAATGTGTTTGTAGACGAAGTTTAGGCCTTTTTACATTTTCTATTTGCACATTTCCTTCAAAAATATGACCTCACCCGCAGAGTAGTACGGACCCATCTATTTGAAATTTCAGAAATCGTCAAATTCTTTAAGACAAACCCAATCGGTCTTTACATCCTACTATAAGATCTCAACGTATTCAGACCAGAGCCTCACGAAACATGTCCGGAATCCGCCGCGTCCAAACATTTAAACACAGCAGAGAGCACGGGCTAATCCACACGTGTTCTCACTCAGAGCCGGGATTTGGCCGGGGGATCAAGGACCGCGCGGAGGACACGGACTCTCTCCTTGTTGACAGTACCTTGACAGGCCTAATCCTGTATAACACACGCAGGGTAAACAAAACATCCAGCTGAGCGTGCAACCTCCGAGCGCGCTTTGAAATCCTCCATTCTCTCTCAAAACAAAAGTGAGGATCTTTACAAACAAGCGCGGAGGATAGCCTTGTGCTGGTAACGGGTAAACACCGAAAAGTACAAGCGTAGCGCAGAGCCACAGCCGCAAACTCCAGAACAGAGGAGAGGAGAGTAAACAAAAACGTGATGGACAGGCGGGCTGTAATCAGAAACTATAAGAGCCGGGGAATCACGAGGAGAGCAGAGGAGAGTTTGTCCTGAAGTAAAAGTTCAATGCTGGGTGTGCGCTGTATGGTTTTTAGAAGTTGTAGTGGCTGGAACAGATCTTGTACTGTAACAGGAAGAAGATATAAACAGAAGATATGGTTGTGTGTGGGAGCGTGGGAATGAATTTAATTGGCTTTAAATGTAAGGATGTACCTCGGGCTAGATGCAATGCATGAAAAATGCTTTATAAATGAAAAAAAATAAATGAAAGTACTATTATTTGGTGTTGAAAACGGTAAATGTTAAAAAGAAAGAGCTTCTATGATACCGTATTTTTTGGACTATAAGGTGCAATATCAATAATGTTGAATTCTCTCGTCTATTTTCGTACATAAGGCGCAACGGATTATAAGATGCATGAAGTGAAACAAACGGACGACATCTGAGACTGATCCTTAGTCCAGGCGTCCACGATCCATCGGCAGATCGTGGTGTAATTCACCTCTCTGTCTTGGTGAATGTGGATTAGGAATGTGAATGTGGGTGGATAATTTGAGTTTGTTTTGTTTTTTTATTTCCTACAAGGAGAGTGCAAATATACACTGAGTAATAATGTGTTTCATGCAGCTTTGCGCACATTTGTTTACGTTTTACAGAAATTAAACTTAAAACCGCATGGCTCATTTGCATAAACTATAAGCGCTGAAAAAACTGCTCGCTCCTTGTGCGCTGATGCGGTTCAGCTTCTGTCGGACTAAAGGACAGTGGAATATATTCTTCCTGTGACAGAGGGGTGTTCTACTGATGGTGAGTCTGTTCTGTGCTTCTATCGCGTTGGAGATGGTTCATGTGAAACTTTTCAGAGATTATATGTCTGCAGGTCATATGCATAGACCGTATATATGAATGGACATATTCTAGCCTCTTAGTGTTTTGGCATTGAATTACTTTGTGTGCATAGACCTACATCAGTGTATCAGTGTTTTCAGGAGTCCACACAGTGCCGGATCAGATCTGTACTCAGATGAAATTGTGGGAGCTGGAGGCACCACATCGTTCCGTCTCTGGAGCTGTTTTCCATCGGAATAGTGTGGACAAACAATGCATCCACAACAAAAATGACTCAAATACGAACTAGTGTGGATGGGGCTTAAAGGACACGACTCAGTGGAATATGAATGTTCCAGTGAAACTTTTCAGAGATTACTCTCTGCTCCGTAATGCTCTGACAATCCATCAAGCGGTGCCTTCGTAGTTTACCAAAGTCGTACCAAAACATTTTGACCGATTTTTGAGCGCCGTGTACCACATAAAACTGGTTCGAGGTCAATAAGCACGACCACAATTAATACATAAGACGCACCGGATTATAAGGGGCACTGTCGATTTTTGAGAAAATTTAAAGAATTTTAAGTGTGTCTTATAGTTTAAAAAACGGACTACGGTAATTGCGGTATCAAATTTGGTATTAAATTTTGGTATTGTGATTCATATTTTCACAATATGCATCTCACGATACAATATTTATTGCAATGTTTTGTGGATATGCTACTTTTTGTCCTGAAAACACTTTGGTTCTATCATAAAAGTGCTTAATGACAGTGATTTCTTCATGTAGTCTGCACTGAAATGGAGGAAAGTTTCACGGTCAATGTAGTTCCATCTGTCTTTTAGCTCATGCTGCACCAAAACTAAGAATTTAACCAAAGACAATTGTAGTTCGATATATCGTGATAGCCCTCAATATTATTGTGAGAACTTTGACGATTTCACGGTATTTCGTATACTGTTACATCCTTAGTCATGACAATCAGGGTTGTCAGGCTTCAGCACAAGATTGTCTGAAAAAGCTGACCAATTCTGTGTGAAAACCATGTACCTGGTAACACTAATGACAGCTGAGATCATTCAGAATATAGACCAATAAAAGCCATTATCAAACCAAACCTCGTACAACAAATACACAGAACTAGAAAATCATGCTAGTTTATGGATACATGCAGTAGAAATTGGCAAGTTTGTTTGGTTGTTGGCAACACTCGATCTCTTGGCATTTTTTAAGCATAAAAAGAGCAAATAACTACAGCTGAATAAAAAAAAAAAGTCTTTAAATGTTGTTTAATTTGTCAGGTTTTCATATTTTCTTATGTATTGTGTAAATTACAAATACAAATGTGAGAAAAGTTAGTTCAAAGTGTTATTTTTTTGCCCCTCCTATGTCATAAGTTAAATTAAAACTGAAAACTGAAATAAATAGTAATATAGCAAATAATAAGACAGACCACCTGATTATGTTTTATATTTTAGGACTGGACTTGTCTTACATCCCCAGGCTCTACTTCTAGCCCCCTCGCGGCTCCGGGACTCACCCTGTAGGCCTGGCTGTAGGGCCCGATGTTGGCGGGGGCCCAGTGGGACAGGCTCTGGACGTGCAGGGCCTCTCGACGCCGGTCACAGCCCTCGTCCTCCACCGCAGGAGCCGCTGGAGACGGGGCCCAGGCGTGGAGCAGACAGTCCATCTGCAGCAGCTGAGCGGGCGGGAGAGGGGCCTGCAGACACACTCTGGACAAGACAGACGAGAACTGCCTTATTATGTCAGGCTATAAGGTACAATGTCAACTGTTCTTTGATGGAAATACCACAAAAATAATTATATTAGACCTTTAGAATCTTCCTGTATCACACACACACGACAGTCCGGGCTTACCTGGCTGGTGGGTTCAGTCCAAAGTGCTTCTTGTACACAGTGTTGATCTGTGCGAAGTCCTCCATGTTCTTCACGTACAGATGGACCAGAACTATGTCTCTCATGTGCCAGCCTTTACTCTCCAGCTCACCTGAACAACCACAGAGCACACAAAATGGGATTATTGGTGTGTGTGTGTGTGTGTATATATATATATATAGAGAGAGAGATAGATAGATAGGTAGATAGATATAGATATACAGTGATCCCTCGCTATATCGCGCTTCACCTATCGCGGCCTCGCTGCTTCGCGGAATTTTTTACAGTGCTTTATTTTTTACAGTGAATCCTGATTGGCTTAGGGGCGTTACTGTTGTCTAGAAGTGAAAAAGGTTTATATTGGTTTTTCATTACACCCATGCCAACAGTTTTCGTTTCTGTACATTCTGCCAAATTTACGTTCGCAATTTTTCTCCGTGACAAAACCCACAATGTCAAAGAAACGTTCTGTGCCGACAAAGAGGCCTCCAGACGCGCCAAAGAGGCCGCGGAAGATGCTAACTATTGCAGAAAAAGTTAAACTTCTGGACATGCTGAAGGAAGGTAAAAGCTATGCGGCTGTAGGGCGCCATTACGGAATAAATGAATCTTCGGTTCGTTACATAAAGCCACCAAGCGAGGATGACGGAGAAGAGGAAGAAGAAGACACACTTGTTGATAAAGAAGAGGAGGAAGGACTAACACTTGGTCGCTTAGCAACCATGATGAGAATGGCCACTGAACTTCAGCGCGCGGCACAAGAATGGGACCCTTTGATGTGTCGTTCATTGCAGTTCTCAAATATAATTGAAGGTGGGATGTCCGTTTATAAAAATCTTCTTGCTCAGAAAAAGAAAGAGTGCCAACAACTACCCATAACGATGTTCTTCTCTCGGAGAAAGACCCCTGCGCAGCCTTCAGTAGAAAAAGACGCTACAGCGCAACGGAGTCAGGACGAAGAGGCGCAGCTGGAGGGACTGTGAAATACGCGAGTGACAATGTTTCCTACCTTGTATTCATTACTATATAAAAATATTGTTTTACAACACCGTTCTTTAAACTATTATAGTTATTTGTAAGAAAACGTTAATATTTCTATTTCTTTAACACATGTTGGGCCTGAAAAGAGGTTTTATTTTTTGTTTCATTCTGCAGTTCAGTATTGCATTGTAAAATCACAGTAAAAAATAAAGCTGACTACTTCGCGGATTTCACCTATTGCGGGTTATTTTTGGAACGTATCCCCCGCGATAAACGAGGGTTCACTGTATATATATTTTTAATTTTTATTTTTTAAAAGATCTATTGTGCTTGTGTCTGGTATATAGTCAATTTATGATTCCCTGGCTCTTACAGTAAAAACAGTGAGATTGAGAGCCTTCTGTTAGCATCACACCACCTCCAAGCAATGTTGATATATATCAGCTGCAAAATATCAATTCCTGTTGTTTTTAGTCGTGTTATAATGTTGTTATCTCCTCGAAAACAGACCTGGAGTTGCGTTTTTGTTTCATTCACATATTTGAGTAACACTTTATTAATAGTCTGTCTGCATCTGCAAAGCTCAAAATGCTCTGTTCCACCTTTTAATGTCATGAAGTGGGACTGTATTTTTGGACTATAAGTGGCACGTTTTTTCATGGTTTGGGGGTTTACTGTGACTTATACTTCGGTGAGACTTATATATTAAAATTTTCACACTGAAGCGGCGAGAGGTTCTAGTCTTGTGTGTGAGTATCTGCTGCTCCTGTTCCTCCTGTACCACTGTCAATTCACTCTACTGCGCATGTCTCCTGCAGAAAGAGCCTCTGTCCTGCTGCAAGTTGTGAAATATTCAGCTGAAAACTGTAATCGAGCAGCAGAAAGAAAGTTTGGAGTGAGCGAGAAACTTGTGACACAGGGAGGATGCACCATGAAACTTTCCTCGAAGTCGCTGGATGAATCGATAAAGCCTGAACTTCAGTGACACCGAAACCATCCTGTCGGGATTCAGAAAGGCCGGAATAATTCTAACTGGAACTGATGCTGAGTCTGACGACAGCGACACAGAAGAGGAAGCATCGCTCTGTTTACCTCCGGAGGTCGCGGAGTTGCTCAGAAGTGACACCGAGGATGAAGAATTGAATGGATTTAGTGATTTGGAGTGAGATGGAGAGTTTGGTAAACTTGTTCTGTTCTGTTGTTTATGTTATAGTTTATCTGAAGAACTGTTCATATGTGACGTTAACAGTCTGTTGTTCTCGGTTCTATTGTTTTTACTAGAACTTGACGTTTACATTTAACTTATATATGTTTTTTCTTCTTCATTACGCAATCATTCACGCATTCGGCTTCATTTTTTGGCTTGTGCGACTTATACTCCGAAAAATACGGTAGTTTTCAAGTTCAGTAGAGATTGGAAACTCCAGGGCTGACAATATCCAAATGATTCTAGTGAAGTTGTGTGGAAATATACAGGATTTGTGTGTTAAAAACAAGAGCTGTGTGAATGAAACAAAACACAACTCCAGGTCTGTTTGTGATGAGGAAACAACATTATAAAATAGATCAGAAAACAGCGTAATATGAGGCTTTTAACTACAATATCAAGTGTGGAGACGGAATAGACACAGAAACGTGGCCTCAAAGTCTCTCCTCTTCCTCCGTTCCGCCTCTCCAAACATCTCCAAGTTAGTTTTCCCTCCTCTTCTTCTTCACCAGACTCCTCTTCGCCCCATACAAAGGCCTGTCTATTAAATATTAACTTGTTTAATATTGTCTCAACTCTGAAGGCTTTTCTGCGCAGGCTAAACATTAAATATGCTTTTCATCTCGCGCCCCTCTTTCTCTTTCTCTCCGTCAGAAAAGAAGAAAAGAGTGAGACGCACTGCAAAAAAGCAAAAGGAAAAAAAAATCTAAAAATAATCTCGGGGGCAAAAACGAAAACCCGCCCAACACGACTGAACTATTAAAAAAATATTTGAAGTGCGTGTCCTTGCTTGGTGGCCGGGGTTGGATAGATTTGGATATATTTTTGACGTGTGCTCTTTGTCTGATGGTACTTTTGAATAAGAAATGACTTGTCAACCATCCGCTCCTCCTCGTGCGCGCGAAAGAGGAGGCACCCAAGGGACGCAGAGGCTTTGGTGTACGTACAAGGATGTAGTCTGAGAATGCTAAAAGGTACAGCTGGAGCGTCTTTGAAATAAATACTATGTACTATAAATAATGGACTAAAGGATTCTGATAGAGAGAGCATTAAAGTTGCATTGGGAAGAATTGTGCTTTTAGGCGAGCAGGTACCGTTTTGTAAGGCAGTCTCGCAGGTTTTTGTGCGATATCTTGAAATTTAGCTGAATTTCATTTGTACTTAGCCAATTTTGAATAATTATTTGTTCTGAATATTGTTTTCTATCTAATAATAACTGAAATATCGTAATATCATATCGTCAAAGTTCTCACAAGTAATATCGTGGACCATCACAATATATCAAATTACAAGTCTATTTGCTTAAATTAAAAGTTATGGTGCAGCAATAACTAAAAAAAAGACAGAGGAACTACATAGACCAGGGGTGTCAAACTCATTTTGGTCCGGGGGTCGTATCCAACCTACTTTGATCCCAAAGGGGCCGGATCAGAAAACTCATGTCATATAAACCCCAAAAATAACAATAAGTTCAAATATTTGTGCAGAGAAACACAAATCTATTACAGAAATCTTTTTTAAATTGATGAACTCTTTCTTATTATAATATTATAATATTATGAACAACCTGAAACTAAGAAAAAATCAATTTCAACACAATGTTTTAACATGAACTTGTATGCAAACAGGAATAAGTCAGTTTTTCTTGGAAAATCCTGCACTCATCATCCACTTTTCTCATGTTGGACATTTTTCTGATGAGGGTGTCACGGTCAACAGTCAAAACGATCGTCCTTTAAGAGCGTTTGGAAAGAGACAAGTCTTCATTTGTGCTGCTCTGGTGGGAGGGGCCACGTACAGAGACGCTGGAGACGCTGCTGTGATAAACACCACAGAAAATTAACAAGATTTTAATAGAAAATATAATTACAATATTTTAGTAGAAAATCACCCAAGGGCCACATTAAAGGTCTTGGAGGGCCGGATCTGGCCCCCGGGCCTTATGTTTGACACCTGTGACATAGACCATGATCCTTTGCTCCATTTCAGTGCAGACTACATGAAGAAATAACAGTTCTAACACTTTTAAGTCTTAGTTCTTTGGATTACGTCTTGTCAAGGCTTTTTTTGTTTGCCTCCACAAAATATTGCAATAAATATTGTACTGTGAGACGTATATTGTGAAAATATCATATCGAGAAATTTGGATATTGTTACATCCCTAATCGTGAGCCTCCCCAACAAATCGTGATCTTTTCCACGATATCGCAATAAATATCGTACCGTGAGGTTCATACTGTGACGATATCGTATCCTGAGACTTGGATATCGTTACATCCCTGTTGTTTTCTTTATTGTGCTGTTGCAGTAATATTTTTTTTCTCTTTTGAGATAAATTATCTTATCCGTAGACTGGATAAAAAATTGGACTACGCGAGTGTGACGTTGAACCGGCTCGCCAAAAAAGGCCGAAATTCGCCAGCATCTATTTTGTTGATTTTTTCTATTAAAAAATGACATTTATATGAAAAAGTTATATTTATATTTAAATAATTTTCTGACGTATTTACATAAGCCACCGAATTTGCCATCAATTTTTCATCACCTGAGTTCTGAGCTCGAGATCAAACAGTGACAGTCGACGCACACGCAGAGTTCTGTAGTACAGTCAAAGACAACAAAATGACTCATGTTAAAGTACTAAAAGTTGACAGAGAGTGCCGAGTTTTCAAAGAACAGTGCACGATCGATTCTTTTTTTGTTCAGTGTAAGGTCCCTGCAGTTTGTCTGATATGTAAAGAAAGTGTGGAGGTTTTCAAAGAATATAATCTGCGTCGTCAGGGTCAAACAATTCTGTTTTACGGCCCCCATCACAGTCAGGAGCGATAATGTGACTCCCCAGAGAAAAAAAGTTGGGTGACCTCTGATCTATATTATGAATAGGATTTTTTTGACAGACAAAATAGCAAAAAAGACCAAAAAAACACCAGGATCATGTAGAGCCGAAAGAGAACCTTCTATTTGGAACACGACAGCTCAAACGTTAGCTTTGCCCATTTATATATACAGTCTATGACCTTATCTTAACTGATATGACAATAATGGTATGATATGACGAGTTTGACACTAGAACATGTGAACTGTGTCCAACTGTGTCCAACTGTGTCCAACTGTGTGTAGCCCCAGAAAGAGTGAGAGGCCCGCAAAGATCCAGACGAGTCGGGCCCTACTGAAGATAGAGACACATCCAAGTTTGTCTCATTCTCAGTTTATGCACAGACCTCATGTGAAAACTCAGAACCTCCAGAATTCCCTCCCTGAGCTGCAGAGGCTGCACTAGCACCGACTCATGACTGGTGCAGGTGCTGGGGTTTAGGTAGTGACCGTTCAGATCAGACAGAGTTCAGCACTGAAACTGGAAAAAGGACTTTAAAGTTCCTGAGATGAGGTGAAAAGTTCAGTCTTACTCTGCAGTTGGCTGAAGGCGGCAGATGTTTGCTTCTGGACGTCCTGCTCGTCACACTGGAGACCACTGATGCCTCCAACCCACTGGAACCCTGAGGGACTCCTCTGGGACCAGGAGGGAGAAACATCTGAAAAGGGGAAGAAGACGACTTAAATACTTTGTTTTCAGACATGTCCTCTTGTTTGAGATAAATCTTCAGAGCTTAATTTGAAAAACTGAATCATGAAAATCTATTAGGAACCTTTTCTTGATGAAACAGGACAGATACACATAACAAAAGGAAACTGTGGCCCTGCGTATTACCTCAGCTTTATTTAACTAATGAGTTTTATTACAGGTGTAATAATAGATTTTCTTCAGGTGTTTTGTGGAGTGGGTAAGTCTGTTTTCAGTGGCAGGATAATTATGACCATTGACATGCACTAGTCTAACACCAGCGACCTCTGAAAATACAAGGACTGGATGGAATATTTAAAAAAGTGTCTCCACACATCTCCAACACTCTGGCTCACTGGAAATGAGGTCCTATGTCCAAAATTCCCTTTAAATATTACAATTTTTTATAGATATACACTCCCAAAAATATGTTTGGATGAAAACAACTGAACCAATAAAATAACAATCACAATCCGTGTATCATTCATTCATTCATTTTTCAATATAAAACCAAAAATAAGAAAACAAAAAATAACTATTTTCTTCCTTATTTGTCTCCAAAATCAAAATGAAAAAAACTGATAATGACTCGTTTTTTTTAGTTATCGATTTTGTGTTTAAATGAATAATGGAAAAAACGTTTCTGTGACTTAAACTGCAATGCCGGACTGAACCAGGACTGAACTGTTTTCAGTCCTAGTCTGGTCCTGGTCTCAGTCCCAGTCTCAGTCCTGGTCCTGTTCCAGGTCTCAATCCTGGTCTCAGTCCCAGTCTGGTCCCAGACTCAGTCCTGGTCTGGCCCCGGTCTAAGTCATGTTCTCAGTCCCGGTCTGGTTGTGGTCTGGTGCCGGACCTGTTTTAGTCCTGATTCAGTCCTGGTTCAGTCCGACATCGCAGTTTAAGTCACGGAAATGGGAAATGGTCATTATCCGTTTTTTCGTTTTGGTTTTGGAGACAAATAATGAAGAAAATAGTTGGGTTTTTTGTTTTCTTATTTTTGGTTTTATATTGAAAAACTAATGAACGAATGATACACGGATTGATCACGAATATTTCCAATCCAAATATGTTTATAAAGATGATTTAAACTGAATTTTATGATAATGTTGAAGGACGACCCGGGTCCTTGGGAAACTCCCTGGCCTCAGAAAGTTTGAGGAGCCGTAGTTCACAGATGTAAGTGTTTGGGGTTTCCTTCAGCTGGAGATTTTCTGAACGTGCTTTTTGTTGTTTCGCGTCTCTAATCCAAATGCATATGCAGTTTACGTCAAAGGACAAATGAATTCAGCCTGTCACAAATCAGCAGCAGGACCTGACAGCGCACGTCAAGCCGTCACCGCCCGGCCGAGCGACACCGGACCGGGGTACAGCGTCGGCGCCGCCCCCCTCCTCCTCTCGCGCGGGCTGTAAATATGCACGCTTTATTCACGTCCGCACCAAACAGCCCCCGCGCGCACACACACAAACACGTCTCACCGCGGCCCCTCTGACAGCTGGGGTCACCCGCTGATGGAGATTCCGGGGGCTCGTCTTGGGCTTGATCAGCGCATTCCTCCTCCTCCGTCATCCTGTCAATGAAGCTCCGGCAAGGACAAGCACCACGGGGCAAAACGCTGGCCACGCTGTTCTGTGGAGGGAGGGAGGGAGGGAGGGGGGGTAAATAAAAATCACCACGGGGAATACATGAGGCCAAATGCCCAGCTAAGACAGACAAAACGGTGCATGATAATGTGGCGCGGTACAGTTCTAAAAGGGTCTGCGCGGAATGAGATGGAGGACGGGTCAGAGGAGGGCGCGGCGCGGCGCTGAATTTGACGTGAACGTTTCAAATGGAGGGCAGGAGGCCGTGTACATGGATGAGAGACGTTTTTGAAGGGCATTTTTTTAAAACCATAATGCGCAACTTCGACTAAAATAAAAGTTTTTGGTCAATTTGGTTGTGTTTATTGCGCTGAAAAACAGCTCAAAAATGTTCATCTCCACAAACCTGACTCCTATTTGGCCTGCTTGTTTCCATGGAGATGTTGTTCTTTGGCTATAATTTTCCACAGTACGGCATAAAACTTCACTATATCCAAGCAGAGTGTCCAGAACTAAGTTTTTTTTTTAACATTCTATTTCCACTGAGTCATGCAGGTGATGTACCACTAGGGCTGGGTGTCATTAAGAAGTTGCCGATACGATACAGTGCACTTTCAATTCGATACAATATATTTCAAATCGATTCAATACGGTTCAATAAAAAATAAAGGGGTCCGGTCAAGCGGTAACGGAGGGAAACAGGCAGATTTTTTACATTCAAATGTCTCTTATTCAGAAACTAGAGGGACTATTGAAATAAGTAAAGTATCAGAATGTAGGAAAGAGTTACACTCCAACAGGGTCAAGTTAAACCTGTGATATTCTTTCAAGTTGTTGACAAAAAATTTTAAAAACTCATGTCGGTAACGGAGGGAATGAAATATGCAGCACTTTTTGGGCAATAAATACAAACAGTGATAACTCTTGGTTCTCACTTACAAACTTAACAAACTGGTTTGAATATTTGCTTCATATAGTTTTCTACCATATGGTACAAGATTAGGTTGAAAAACCTCTTACTTTTTGAGTAATGAGATTTTTTATTAAGAAAGGTCATGGTAACGGAGGGAAAATTGTGCGAGCAAGTAGAAGGTGCATGATTTTGCATAATTTATCAGCTTTTTTCTTCCGAATACTTTAATATTACTTCAAAATGAAAGGAAACTATTTCTATAAAATATGTCAGTCCTTCCAAGCAAATTTTTATCATTTTAAATACATTACACAACAAAAAAAAAATCAAATAACACAAGATATGATGAAATACATCCATTTATTGACATGATTTTTGGGTCTTTGAAATTTGGGAAATAATTTTTGTTCCATGTTTCATACATGGTCTGTTTAAAACGTATGTAACTTTAGAACCAAAAATGGTACAGAAAAAAGGTCAACAGTTTCATAAACTAGAGTACATATGTATCTGTTGAATACATTTTTATATCAGATGCATTAACTTGAATTTTTGGCCTTGCTGTTTACTTCTGCTTGACCGGACCCAAAGGCTAAATCATGGCTGTGACACTAAAAGTCTTTGTTAATCCACTTTTTATGCAAAGTTAAAATGAAAAACACACATTTTAATCCTTAAAACTGTGAAAATATCAAATGTGCGGCATAAAAAAAAAAAAGAATGAGAACTTCGCACATCAATTACTAGAGATCGGAGGTGCATCGGAGGAGAAAAATCCCACACACTGTCTTACTTGCAAATAGTGAGATTTATTAGGACAAACTGTGCATCGTTTCGGCACTAGGCCTTTGTCAGGCAGACAGAATGAGAGCTCAGGTGGCCGTCTTAAATAGGGTGTGGCAATGTGAGGCATAAAAAAAACGTTTCCTTAATCTGAACAAGCAACAAATGTGTAGCCTGATTAATCAGACGGTTTTACTTCGTGGAAACAGTGTGACCTCGCAGCATTAGGATTCGTTCGCTCGACAATAGGCAGGTGCTTTTTTTTTGGTTGCGACATATGTAATGCAAACCAAATCCCGTAGGAAGAAGGGCAATAACATCTTTCCCCTTGATAAAATTCACCAAACATTCTCTTTATTCCGGTTTTAAATCCTCGATCTCGGGAATCGTTGCCAACACAGAATGTATGGCTCTTCCATCTAGTGGATTCTGATTCCTGACCTAGTCGCTGGAGAGAAATGAAATTGAGCGGAGACAATAGGTGGCACGAGCCTGGCTACCAAAACTGTAGCGCTGTAACAAAATAATTTAGTAAAATATCGATACAGCAGCCCGCGATATCAATACTGTATCATTACATTCAATATTTTTGCACACCTCTACAAACCACCTCCAGAAAGTTACACACTGTACATTTAAATACAAAGAATACACATATTTTGGCTTCACAACCTCACAATATTTCAACCTTTCAATTAATCAAAACAAACTAACCAAAACTAAAATGGCGACACTGAGTTACTTCAGTTTATTTTAGCGAAAAGGTTTTTTTTTGCTTGTGAAAAACGTACAAGAGGGAAGCGCTTTGTGCATTTGTGGACAGGGAAGATGTCTGCACTTTTCTCTCAGAAGGAGGTTATGTTTTTGCCGGCGTTTGTCTGTTTGTTTGTTTGTTTGTTTGTCTGTTAGCAACATAACTCAAAAAGTTATGGACCGATTTTGATTAAATTTTCAGAATTTGTTGGAAATGTGAAAAGGAAGAACTGATTTCATTTTGGGGCTGATCCGGAAGAAATCCTGGATTCTGGATCACTTTGAAATTTTAGTTAACATTGTGGTAAATGGGGCCAAAAATTTAGTTTCTCAATATTTTGAAATTTGACTCAGGGATGGACAATGGGATCCTCTTTCATATTCCAAAGGCTGATCCGGATCTGATCCAGAAGACTGATTTTATCGCAATTTATATAAAAAATGGGGGTGGTCCTTGGCGGAGGTCTGCGCTCTCTGAGTGCTTTTCTAGTTTGACTTGTTCCGCTGTTGTCACACTTCGACCAGTTACATTCAAATAGTTGTCATGACATTGCACGTTTTCCGATCTCTTTCAGTGGGAGCTGTTCCAGATTGACCATGTGTAGAACTCACTTCAGAGCTACAGATCAATCCATGAGCCAGGTAAATGAATCACTGCCCTCCATCTGAAATCTTGAGCTCATACAAGGCTAGAACATGAACCAACAAAGCCGGCATTTAGCGACACGACTTCAGACAACTTGAAGGTGAATGAATATGAAACAACATGCTAACGTATTCAGGGTTTAGGCGAAAGGGGAGCGCTGTTCTCCGCTATTGCAGATCCAATCATGCCGCCTGTCAGTCAAAACTCGGCGATGCCACGTGCCTGTTTGCCTCTTCTTCCCACTGACTAACATTTCTTTCTTTTTTTTTTTTGTTCTTTAAATAACAAATCGCTCTCTCAAGGCCGGACATATTACCTGCCAAACCTGCTGGGCATCACATTTGAATACATCTTTCACATTCGCTTGCCCCCCCCCGTCTGCTGTCAACCGCATTACGCCGTATGGTAATCAAATTAATTACACTCTAGCCCCTCTCTTCTCCCGGCGCGGGCACGGAAAAATAGCTTGACTAGCATTAACGTGAGGGCAAATGATGGCGGTCCTACCCCCCCCCGCCGCCACCACCGCTACCACCACCACCACCACCACTACTGGCCCCCTACCCGGCAGCAGCCCCGGCGCTCTGCTACCGGAGAGGGGTGTCACTGCGGATCTGTCAGGCTGACGAGAAGCGTTTGAGCAGGCCGGAGCGGGGCTGGTTCTCCCCTGGTCCCCCCCCACCCTCGCCCGCCGCCCGCCCGTGCTCGTCTGGGCGGAGTGGGGGGGTAAAATATGTAGCTGGAGGGCGAGAGGCTGCGGGGTCAGGCAGGGAGCGGGGGGTATGTTTTGTGTCCATCGCTGTCCCCGGTGCAGTGAGTCATAAGCATACATGCATACACACTGTCCCTATGTTTTATTCAGGATTTTAAATGGGACATAACATGAAAAAATATTAGTTTTGTTGTATTTCTGATTGATTCATGCGTGTTTGAGTAAGTTCTTGTTGTCATCTAGGTCCTTTCCCCACCCACTTATCTGTATTTACTTCATTCAAAACGTGAAATTAGTACATGGAACACTATAGAAGCCTTTAAAAAAACAAGTATAAAGCGTTATGTTTTGAAAGATATGGAGCTCTGGAATGAATGAATTATGCATGAAATTTTGTTTGTTTAAATTTATATTTTGTATCTTATATATACAGTAAGTCCATAAATTCATCCATTTTCTTCCGCTTATCCAGGGCTGGGTCTCAGGGGCAGCAGTCTAACCAGGGACTCCCAGACTTCCTTCACCGCAGACACGTCCTCCAGCTCCTCCAGGTGGACCCAGAGGTGTTCCCAGACCAGCCCGGAGACATAGTCCGTCCAGCGTGTCCTGGGTTTTCCCTGGGGCCTCCTTCCGGCGGGACATGCCCGGAACACCTCCCGAGGAAGGCGCCCAGGAAGCATCCACAACAGATGCCTGAGCCACCTCAACTGCTCCTCTCGGCGTGGAGGAGCAGCGGCTCTACTCCGAGCTCCTCCCGTGTGACTGAGGTCCTCACTCTATCTCTAAAGGGCTGTTCACACCAAAGCGTCAAAAAACGCCTTGGCGCCTCTATTTGGACGCCTTTGCATTTGAGTTTAGACGCCCCCGACGCGTGTCTTTGACGCCGTGGACGAAAGGGAGAAAAATACCTGACGCGTGTCCATTGCCCTGAAAACAAGAGCCCGGTCCCGCTCTTTTCCCGAAACAATGTCAGACCAGACTGACAGAGTGTTTTTATGACATAAAATATCAGAGGAGGAGATCGGGTCGACGACTACAGCGTACATATATTTATACTCCGCTAATGACACTGGATCAGTCCTGGTCTAGTCCTGGTTTAGTCCTGGTTTAGTCCCGGTCTAGTTCTGGTCTAGTTCCGGTCTAATCAAGGTCTAGTCCTGGTTTAGTCCCGGTCTATTCCCGGTCTAGTCCTTGTTTAGTCCCGGTCTAGTCCTTGTTTAGTCCCGGTCTAGTCCTGGTTTAGTCCCAGTTTAGTCCTGGTCCGGTCCTGGTGTAGTCCTCGCGATCGTCTTGGTGATTGTGGCGTATATATTTATTCTCCGCTCATGTTTGTGTCTCTGGTTCTCGGGTTTTTCTTCCTGATAATAACGTCGCTGCGTCACTGGATACTCGTCCCTGATTGGTCGACGCGGCGTGTCTGACGCGAAAGGTTCAGCATTTTCAGCTTCTTGACGCTGATGCCTTGGACGCTCGTCTAAATGCTCAAGACGCGCCATGTTGACGCCAGATTCGCGCCGCGCTGACGCAGAAGACGCTCCTCAAAAACGCAGGACGCTCTAGTCGCGCGTCCACATAGACTTTACATAGAAACTGGACGCTTTGACGCTTTGGTGTGAACGACCCTTAAGGGAGCACACAGACACCGCGCGGAGGAAACTCATTTCGGCCGCTTGTATCCGCGATCTCGTCCTTTCGGTCACTACCCAGAGCTCATGACCATAGGTGAGGGGAGGAACGAAGACTGACCAGTAAATACGCTGCTTTTCTCATTGTTTAAAAAGGGTTTGGCGTTACAAGTACTTTTTACTGAGGACTGAGTACTTTACTGAAAATGCAGAGCACACTCAGATGGCCCATGTCCAAAAGCACTTTTATTTTTAAAATAACGTTTTGGCAAAAAAAAGCTTTCGTCAAATTTTCAGAGATTTTTTTTTTTTTTCCCCAAAACGTTATTTAAAAATAAGAAAGCTTTTGGACATAGGCCATCTGAGTGTACTTTGCATTTTGGCACTTTTATAACATTGTTTATTTTGCTGTTCCTTGCATTTGCACCTCTACAAGAACTTTGGTTTTCTGTTTCATTTGAGGTCCAACCAGGTTATCACATGGTAGAGAGCTTCAAAAAAGTAGATTTTAATAGATAATACTCGGTCTTTAAAGGTGCATTGTGAAACTTTTCTGGTGGAGGATCGGTCACCTGCGTGTTTCAGCAGAGATGTCACTGCTCTGCCTGAAATGTTCCACAGTACGACTTTAAACGGGTGGTTTTATGGCTCAAAAAATACCAAGAAAAACAGAAATTCTGACTGTGAGCGGGGTCGCCTCTCCACAGATCTGACCTGTAACTCGATCTGGTCTGGTTTGATCTCCGTGAAGCCAGAAATGTTTAAAGCCGCACTGAAAAGTTTAAAGAAATGATTGAATTATTACGCCGCATATTATACCACTGCGGAAAACTTTGCAAATCGGTCAGCCGTGAGTCAGATTTTCTATAAAGAGATTTACAAAACAGTCGACCAATCATAATAAACAATCGCTGATTAATCGACGAGAAAATAATTAACATGGCTGCGACTGCAATGACGAAGCGGCGAGATCTTTCATCCGACCGCGTTTGACAAACCGCAGAAAATTAACAAAATAACAAAGCGGGGCCATTTCAAATATTTATAACGCGTATGAAATTTCAAAACAAATCCGCGGCGTCTGGAATCGCGGCGAGGCCTCAGACGCATCCGTCACCGCGCCGCTTCTGTTCTTATTAACGCGGACAGTTAATAGCGGCGTAATTAAGAGCGCAAATTAGCCCGACGTTTAATTGACGATAATATTACCATTATAAACTCGAGCGCGCGCGGTCGTGTAGGAAAGTTCCCCGGCGTCGCTTTTTGATGAAGCCTCGCTCAGCTGCCGCCCCAGTGCTTAGCCAGCTACCTGAACGCAGAGCTCCCCTAATGCGAGCGGACGTGTTTATTAATCCGGGGCTCGTTTGGGGGCGGCGGCGAATATTGCGGCCGAGGGAGGAGGGAGGAAGAGGGAAGAGGGAAGAGGAGGGGGGGTGATGGAGGCCGGAAAAAGCCGCAGGAAGCGCAGCCCGAGACCACAGATCTACAGAGTTACAGGACTGAAGGCGTCTGGTCTTTTTTGTGTTTGTGTGTTGTTGTTTTTTTTCTTTCGGTTTAAAAGCCCAAAGCGAAGAGTTTTCATCGGGATCGGGCATCGGGCGACATTGATTGTGTGAAAGGCGAGTTTTTACTTTTGGGTTCTGTGTGACTTACTGTGGTTGAGTTATAATTTTATCAAATATTGATCTAAAACGATTTAATAAAAGATACAAAGACTTGCACGTTAGAAGATAATCCATGAATTCGTTTATTTGTTTTGCAAAATAAAACCAAAAATAAACAACTAGTTTCTTCATTATTTGTCTCCAAAACCAAACTGGAAAAATGTTTAATGATTTGTTTTTTCAGTTTTTGATTTTGTGTTTAAATGAAAAATGGAAAAAACTGATAACGGCCGTTTGACTTAAACTGTGATGCCGGAAACGGACTGAACCAGGACTAAACCAGGTCCGGGATCAGACCAGAACCAGACCGGGACCAGACCAGGACTGAGACCAGGACTGAGAGTGGGACCAGACCGGGACCAGACCAGGATCAGCCCTGGACCGACACCGGAACCAGACTGGGACCAGCACCAGGGCCAGACCGCGACCAGACTGGAACCAGACTGGGACAGACACCAAGACGATACCGGGACCAGATCGGGACCGACACTGGGGCCAGACCGGGACCAGACCGGGACCGACACTGGGACCAGACAGGGACCAGACCGGGACCGACACTGGGACCGACACCGGGACCAGACCGGGACCAGACCGGGACCGACACTGGGACCGACACTGGGGCCAGACCGGGACCAGACCGGGACCGAGACCAGGTCCAGACCGGGACCAGACTGGGGCTGAGACTGGGCCTGAGACCAGGACTGAGACCGGGACTGAGACCAGGACTGAGACCGGGACCAGATTGGGACCAGACCGGGACTGAGACCATGACTGAGGCCAGGACCAGACTGGGACCAGATCGTGATTGAGACCGGGACCAGACCAGGACCAGACCGGGACTGAGACTGAGATTGGGACCAGACCGGGACTGAGACCGGGACCAGACTGGGACTGACACCGAGACTAGACCAGGACCAGACTGGGACTGAGATTGGGACCAGACCAGGACCAGACCGGACCGACACTGGGACCGACACTGGGACCGACACTGGGGCCAGACCGGGACCAGACCGGGACCGAGACCAGGTCCAGACCGGGACCGAGACCAGGTCCAGACCGGGACCGGACCAGGTCCAGACCGGGACCAGACTGGGGCTGAGACTGGGCCTGAGACCAGGACTGAGACCGGGACCAGATTGGGACCAGACCGGGACTGAGACCATGACTGAGGCCAGGACCAGACTGGGACCAGATCGTGATTGAGACCGGGACCAGACCAGGACCAGACCGGGACTGAGACTGAGATTGGGACCAGACCGGGACTGAGACCGGGACCAGACTGGGACTGACACCGAGACTAGACCAGGACAGAGACCAGGACTGAGACCAGGACCAGACCGGGACTGAGACCGGGACCAGACTGGGACTGACACTGAGACTAGACCAGGACCAGACTGGGACTGAGATTGGGACCAGACCAGGACCAGACCGGGACTGAGACCGGGACCAGACTGGGACTGACACCGAGACTAGACCAGGACAGAGACCAGGACTGAGACCAGGACCAGACCGGGACTGAGACCGGGACCAGACTGGGACTGACACCAAGACTAGACCAGGACCAGACTGGGACTGAGATTGGGACCAGACCAGGACCAGACCGGGACTGAGACCGGGACCAGACTGGGACTGACACCGAGACTAGACCAGGACAGAGACCAGGACCAGACCGGGACTGAGACCAGGACCAGACCAGGACTGAGACCAGGACCAGACCAGGACTGAGACTGGGACCAGACCAGGACTGAAAATGGTTTAGTCCTGGTTTAGTCTTATTTTAGTCCTGAATCAGTCCTGGTTCAGTCCGGCATCGCAGTTTAAGTCACGGAAACTGAAAACATCCGTTATCCGTTTTTTTCCATTACACATTTAAACACAAAATCCAAAACTGAAAAAACTAATTGTTATCCATTTTCATTTTCATTTTGGAGACAAATAATGAAGAAAATTGTTTTGTTTTTTTTCATTTTCTTGGCCCTGTCTGGAGCGATGTTTTTTGTTCTACCTGAGTTTACAGTGTTCGATTTTTGACTGCGATTGTGTGGATTTTTGAGTTCTGTCAGAAGCGGGACTCACCTCGTCTTTATCCTCCGTGTGCATTTTGGTGAAGCGCAGGTACCCGACCGGAGCAAAGGCGTCGGCCGAGTGGATCACCGTCTCCATCTCGTCACTGCACAAACACGGCGAAGGAAGGAAGGAAGTTACATCTACAGGAGGTTCAATCGTGAAAATCTTGGTCGACTAAAGGCACGTCCATGAAATATCTAAACGGTAAATTCACAAATGTTGAGCCTGATCACGTTGGCGCGCGCGTAAATGGACTCACATGACGATCCTCCTTCTAAACAGCGGGCAGTCCAGGGTGAAGGTCTCGTACTCGCCCCCCTCGCCGCAAATATGGACGCCGTACTTCTTCGAGAGCTGGACAAAGCAGGAAGTACAGTTAGGTCAATGTAGTCAATATATCGTGTACTTTATAGTGGCACTTGATTCAAGGTTGTATGGAGGATTTTTTTTTGTTTCAAGTTGTCAATGATAGATTATAGAGGTGCAGTAGCCTTGTAATTATGATGACCAAAAAAAAGAGAATAAAAATCATCAACTCTGGACGTGGTGGGGCTAAACATTTTCCAATAGATAACGACACTGCCTCGTTATCTGTGAGCTGACAGGCTGTCAATCAATCTCAGTACGTTTCTAGTGTAACTGACTTGCCTGCGCGCCGCCGGTACGTGGTTTACGTACGACTGTCACGCAGTCCACAGACGCAAGACGCACAGACGCTGTTTACTCCACCAACGCAACAGTTCTTAACGGCTTTTTTTGACCTATATCTTCCTCGCAGTTCGCACAAAGTTTGTTGCAATGGCGACAAGAATCCAGGAGCAGTTCGCCCCAAAAGAAAGTCCGTTTTTGAGGTCGCTGAAAGAAGAAGACAAGGGGAAAAGCAGCGAAGCCAAACTAAGGTGATTCTTGAAGATTCATTCCAGCGATGGCGCAACTGAAGCAGACGCAGGGTCTAAAGACTGAACGCACTGGTCCACAAATTACTCCTGGACAGGTCACTTCTGCTTATTATGAAAACGTACTTTATTTCCAAGCGCTAGACAAACGTTTTTCAGGACACGAAAGCGATATCCTATGTCTGAAAACGTAATTTTCAAGGCAAAGAAAGAGTCCGCTTGCTGCTGCGTGTTGTAGCTAGTTCATTCGCACGGAATCTCCGCGCAACCTTCTCTGCACCCCTTTCCTGCTCCTCTCCCCGCTGCCCGATCCACTCTTCCCCCTGCTCCTCACTTCTCCGGGCACGGAATCTCCGCGCACCGCTCCCCTCTCCTCTCTCCTCTCTCCCTGCTCCTCACTTCTCTGGGCACGAAATGTCCGCACACCCGCTCCCCCCGCTCCTCACTTCTCCGTCTTGCCTAACCAACACTGTAGTTAGTTGTTTACAAGTCATGTGCAGCTCACCGGCTGTAAACAAACCTGTTTCTGGCGTAAGGAGGAGGCGGGAGGAGGCGTTTCTACGTAGGAGCTGTAGGGGAGGGGGGGTGGTTTCACGCATGCGCAACATTTGAAAAAGGACAAACAGTCGCTGGATTTCTCGTTCCTTGGAAAATCCTCTATACAACCTTTCAGTCTAGTCTAGTGGAGTTCTTATGAGAGTAGACGGTCCGTAAAAAAAAAAACTGTCGTAAAAAAAAAACAGACCTGGTGGAGATACGGCTGCATTTGGGCCAGAGATTTCCCCAAGTGCTTCTCTGGATCCAAACCTATAAAACATAAAATACAAATTAAATTAAAAACACAACACTTTTGAATGATAAAATACAAATGAAATACAGTAAGTGATTATTAAGGTAGATGTTTGGGGGTATTTTATGTCTATGGGGTATTAACTGCTAACACATAACATATAGTGTATATATGTATCAGATAATACTCCCTACAACTGTACAACTCACTCTTATGTGACAAATAATACTCCCTATAAATGCACAAGAACTCACTTTTACATAACAGATAATACTCCCTACAATTGTACAACAATCCCCCTTATGCAACATATAATACTCCCTACAACTGCACAACTCACCCTTATGTAACAGATAAAATAATACTCCCTACAATTGTACAACTCACCCTTATGTAACAGATAATACTCCCTACAACTGTACAACTTACCCTGATGTAATAGATAATACTCCTTACAAGTGTATAACAACTCATCCTCATGTAACAAATAATGCTCCCTACAACAGTACAACAACTCACCCATATGGAACAGATAATACTCCCTACAAGTGTACAACAACTCGCCCTTATGTAACATATAATACTCCCTACAACAGTACAACAACTCACCCTGATGTAACAGATAATACTCCCTACGACAACAACAACTCACCCTGATGTAACAGATAATACTCCCTACGACAACAACAACTCACTCTTATGTAACAATAATACTCCCTACAACTGCACAACAACTCACATTTACATTTATATAATTATGCCTTATTTGACGCCAGTTTCTTGCTATTTCTACTACTTATTTTTTAGAATTTATTATTAACGTTTATATTTTTTCTCTTTGTTGATTTGATTATAATACTGTGATGATTCTGAGCAACTTATTTCCCTTCTGGATCAAAGTTTGTCTAAGTCCAAGTCTAAGTCTAAGAACTCGACCCCCGAGTCTCATCTCCACTCGTCCCGTCACGGTGACATTCTTATTAATACCTGTCTGTGTAATCTAAGTCTGTTCCATCATTTCTGAAAAGCCCCGTCCGACTCCGCTCCTCTTACTCTCACACGACGTTCCAATTCCCGCTCTGTCTCGCGAAAAAACCCGCGTTAATTGATTGACATAATCATTAACGCGCCGACGGTGACCTATGGCCGACGAAGCCCGGTTGTGACAGCGATGCCGTCGCGATCTGGGATTATTTTTTTTAAATAATCGCGAATTACCGCTTCCGTTCCGTAATCCTCCTTCCATGTGTTTAATTACGGCCGGCTTAATCGTAACGTGCGAACTTCTCCATCTCTTCGAATGACATCCCCAAAGGTCATCGCGCGGAACCCGTTGGGGGGAGCGAGGCTTGCCTGGGAGCCCGAGTCGCGAGGCGGGGGGTCCAAGGTTGACAATAACGGTAGCTGCTATAGGCTCCTGATTAAAAAAAAAAAAAAAAAAAAAAAAAAAAAAAAAGGGCCGGCGTCGTCGCTTCCCCGGGAGATCTTGAGTCTTAATTAGCCCGAGAATATCTAATCTCAACGTCGCGTCTCATCTTAACCCCGGCAACAAAGGTAATGAGGAAAAAGGGAGCATTAAAATTCAATTCAATTATATATCCTCTTTAATTAGTCATGCCTTTTTAACAAATTGTAATAATTGGCTTCAAATTGCTGAGGGGATGCCGCGAGTTTAATGTTCATTAGCGTATAGGGCGGTTAATAAAATATGAAACGTGATGGTTGATAGTTCAGCGGGCGAGAGAGAGAGAGCTGTCTGTCAAACCCGAGCGAGCGATGACATGAGCGCTGTTCTTTTCGTGCTCGATTAATCACCTTTTAGGACAATTTGGGAATTTGTTATTAAGATGTCATTAAAGACGGGGGTGTTTTACTTGTGTGCGGTATTAAACTGCCAACACAGAGCAGATTTAGATCGCCAGGTTTCCTTTTATTGTAGGTTATTGGAGGGTTCGAAGAGTCCAGGAGAGATTGTAAGATTACTCAAACATGCATGGGCGACATCTTAAACTTCATCTTAATCCGTGTATCATTCGTTTTTCAATATAAAACCAAAAATAAGAAAATGAAAAAACAACTGTTTTCTTCATCATTATTTCATTATTTTCAGTTTTTGATTTTGTGTTTAAATGAAGAGTGGAAAAAACGGATAACGGCCGTTTTCCGTTTACGTGACTTCCGTGACTGAGATGCCGAACTTTTACACTGCATACGGACTGAACCAGGACTGATCCAGGTCCGGGACCACACCGGGATCAGAGCGGGACCAGACCGGGACCAGACCGGACCAGACCGGACCAGATCGGGACCAGAGCAGGACCAGGGCGGACTCCGAGCTTTGACTCCGAGCCTCCGCCGGAGCTCTGCCGTGGGCTCTGAACCTCCGGTCTGGTCCCGGTCTGGTCCCGGACCTGGATCAGTCCTGGTTTAGTCCGTATGCAGTGTAAAAGTTCGGCATCTCAGTCACGGAAGTCACGTAAACGGAAAACAGTCATTATCCATTTTTTCCATTCTTCATTTAAACACAAAATTGAAAACTGAAAAAACGAATCGTTATCCGTTTTTTCATTTTGGTTTTGGAGACAAATAATGAAGAAAACTGTCTTTTTTTGTCGTTTTCTTATTTTTAGTTTTATATTGAAAAACGAATGAACAAATGACACACGGATTCATCTTAACTACAGCTTTTGAAAACTTGATTTTACATACCCTATTTTTTGGAGTATAAGTCGCACTTTTCTTCATGGTTTGGGTGTTTCCTGTGACTTATACTCCAGGGCGAATTTTCACACTGAAGCGGCTCTAGGCTCTAGGCTTGTGTGCCAGTATCTGCTGCTCCTGTTACTCCTGTACGACTGTCACTTCACCTTTTACTGCGCATGTTTCCTGTAGAAACAGCCGTTGTCTCACTGCAAATGGTGAAATATTCAGCTGAAAATGGTAATCAAGCAGCAGAAAGAAAGTTTGAAGTGAGCGAGAAACTTGTGAGGGACTGGAGGAAAGCGGGGATGGAGAACACAGCTTCACGGCAACAGAGTGGATGCACCATGCAACTTTCCTGAAGTCACTGGATGGATCGACAAAGCCTGGACTTCAGTGACACCGAAACCATCCTGTCGGGATTCAGAAAGGCCGGAATAATTCTAACTGGAACTGATGCTGAGTCTGACGACAGCGACACAGAAGAGCAATGGGCGCTCTGTTTACATCATGGATCTATGGTTTATCTCTGGAGGTCGCGCAGAAGTGACACAGAGGATGAAGAAGTCAATGGATTTACAGTAATGATTTGGAGTGAGATGGAGAGTTTGGTAAACGTATGTTCTTTTGTTTATGCTATAATTATCTGAATAACTGTTCATATGTTACGTTAACATATCAACGCCTTTTCAGCCTGTTGTTCTCGGTTCTATTGTTATTACTGTAACTTGACTTTCAACATGAAATGTCGGTTCCGGGTGGTGAAGGTCCGTCCAGACATTTGATTTTTCACAAGTTCAGCCCAAATACTACATATGAAATCAACATAGTCTGATCCCCCACACATCCTGGATCTTATTCTTTGCTCTTAGTTCATTTTATAATGTTTTATAGAAGTATCGGATCAGGACTCAGTATTGGCAGATACTCAAAATCAAATGACTTAGACTCGAACTCAGGGGCAACAAAATGTGATTGGGACATCGTTGTGTAACCCGTCGTCATATCACTGAATAGATCTCAGAACGTCAAATAAACAAAATGTGAACTAAAACATGTTAAATTAATACTGGTGAGTTTGGAAAAATATCGGAATAAATTTATATTTTTGTTCATTAAAATAAAATACTGGTAGGGACTAGGGATGGGCATTCGATGAAATTTTCTTAATCAATCGTTCGGAAGAATTAACAATCGATTATCGATTAATCATTAACGTTTTTATATTAAAATTATCATCATTATTATTACTATCTGCACTACTAATCTGCATAAATAAATTCAACTTTACGACATATAAACCGTAAAAACTCTAGAGCCACATCAGCCCGTTTGACGTGTTTAATTCAGTTTTGCGCAACTCTCACAGAAACAAAACTTAAAACCGCATCGCTAATTTGCATAAACTAAGCGAAGATAAAACTACAGCTCTTGTGTCGCTGATGCGGTTCAATTTCTGTCGGATTAAAAGACATGACTCAGGTGAATACAGGTTAGTGTGACCAGATTTGCGTTTGTCAAAACCAGGACACCGTACGGGGGGAGGGAGGTGGGGACTCGTCATCGACATTGCGCGACTCTCACCTGGTAAAACTTTTTCACACTGGACACAGAAACATATGTGCTGCTTTATACACTGTGCACATGGACTCACACTTGTCCCGAACGCAACGGAAAATGTGGAATTTCTGGTACAAGTCATCGTTGTACATCGTTCGCATTTGCACTTCGGTACGTTGCAGACTGACCGACTGTTTGTGTCTCGCTCCTTCTGAGTGCAGAGACACATGTACACACCTGTTTGGTCACGCTACGCACAGCAACCTACATTCGGTTTGTCGATTAAAATGAACGTAATCGATGAAATTCTTAATGATCAATTATCGATTAATCGACTAATCATGCCCATCCCCAGTAGGGACTATTTTGTCTTCCCCAAATACCTACGCCCTTGATCAAACATGTTTCACTATGCACAGGTTTGTCCTCCATGAAGTCTTGTTCCATCTAACTCCACTCGCAGACATGATCTTCACAGCTCCATCTTCAAACCAATCAGCTCTCCTCATTATGGAGCAGCGGAGCCAAATCAGGCAGCAGAGTGTGCCATTAGCCCGCCGCAGTGCACTCCAGAGACGCCGCGGAGCGCTGAGAGCTTTAACAGGGCTTTCCACCTCAAATGAGCCAATAAAAGTCCAATTAAAACAGGTGAACTTTAGAGTGGGGAATCCGCTAATTAGCTAAAGTATTTGTAATGAAGAATTATGGGGAATTACAAAGAGAAAAAAAGGTTAAGTTAGAGAGTTTGGGAAATAGA